GAAATCCTTTACATTTGTGCAAAGAGCGGTTTAAGAAGATTCAGAGGCTCTGGCAGCAGCACAGCGTCACGGAGGAAATCGGACACGCGCAGGAGGCAAATCAGACGTTGGTCGGTGTTGACTGGCAGCATCTGTAGTCACTGCGCTGCCAAAAACATAAACTGGATTTTTGTAACTTAGCAGCTTTCAAGAAGGAGAATAGGAAATAAGTTCTACTGGATTTGGAAATAAATTCTTTAGTTAAGCTTTTCTTCCCAGTTTTATTTTTATAGTCTCTGGCTCCATGGGCCGATGAAAATCATCTTCCGTCAGTGTATCTTCTCGCACCGTTTGCTGTATCCCTCGAACATAACTTCCGAGGAGCTTCCAAAGCTGGACGCAGCCCCGCCGCGAGCGTCTGACTGTTGGACCGTCCAGGAGTCTGAGCCATGTCACATTGCTGGTCACAGGGCACTCGGGCCTGAAGCTGATTCACCAGCAGGAGGAGACATTCTCTGTAATGTATGGGGTCACATTTCCTATTCCCCCTCAGTGATTCTCAACATGGAGTGGGTCAGCGTCCCCTCTGCTGACAGGACCCCACCTCCAAGAGCAAAGCAGCGGATTTGGAGAGGAGCATTCCCTCATCCACGTCAGCCAAGAGAGGACTGGGGGCACTAGTGCCTGAGGAGCCGCTGGGCGGAAGGGAAGAAGGCTGTTTCTTCGAGTGCTGGGTAGTTTGCAGAGCTGTGGAAAGTTGGATTTTTTTTTTTTTTCTTTTGGCAGGACTTCTGGCTTTGAGAGAAAAAAACTCAATTTTAAAGGGCTTTTTGAAAACTTAACAGAGTATCCTAATTTTTCAGATGATATATTCTCTTACTTCTAAGACTAAATGGAAAAGATTATGCATCTAGCATCAAACTCTAGCAAAAAAAACCCCAAACAACACTGTGTTTTGAGGCTCCCACAGCCCCATCCCTGTTTGCATTTCTTGGAATAGATGGATTGCCGTTTACCTGCTGGCTCACTTAGTGCATTCCTGGGACAGCCTGCGTGCCTGGGCTTTTTATTCTTTTTAAACATTATTGTTTTTACTAAGATTACAACTGTTAGATTGTAACTACTAGATTAAAACTATCACGCACCACACGGCCACTCGGGTCTGACGCACGTGTGCTGAGAGCTTGAACACACACACAGAGTGGTGGCAGATTTAGTGGAGGAATAAATTCAGAGTCTCTAAGAGCTGGGCTAAAGGACAAATGAATAATGAGAGGCTCTTGGATTTTTTTCAGCCAATGCAACTAACCCTGTCGCTCCGTTTTCTTTGAACTGCATCTGAAAGCTCCGTTGCCCTCAGCTCTGTGCACTCAGCAGTGCACCCAGAAGGAAGGCCAGAAACCCAGGCCTCAGGCTACAATGAATGGGGGTGCAGACGCCGCATTCACTGTTCCCTCTCTGTCGTAGTTTTCTGAAAGGATGGCCCTCACCCTTCCTGCGTGGGACTGGCTCCCCCAGCGGAGAAGAGGTGTTTCCCACCCCGCAGGAGGAAAATCCAAACCAGAGTGCAGGGCTGTCCCGCTTTTTCTGGCCTTCTCTCCGTTGGTAAGGCCTGGTGGTTTGGGCTGTGGATGGCACAGTTATTTTAATGTCACATCCCTGTTCCTTCAGCTTTTAATTCCAGCTGCTTTTGGTTTTTCTCAATAATGTCACCAAGATTAAATTTAAAGTGGTAAAGACCGTGTCTCTCCCTCATAAAGGGATCATGAACATTTTCATCCAGTCGGCCGTTTGCCAGCTGTCCAGACTGGCGTCACAGAAGTCTGCTGTTAGCAGAGGGTGTCCCTGGCTTTCATTCTCTGAACATGTCAGAGTCTGAGAGAAGATAAATTTAGAAGATGAAATAATGTTTGCACCATTAAGCTAATTGTCTTCCCTACCTAAGGAATCATCTTATGATCTTTATGATTTGTTCCGCATGTATTATGTTTATTGTGGAAACGTCTATGTAACATGCTTTCCATATCAGGGAAAATCACATCTGTTTGATAAATTGGCTATAACTACTATCTGTGGAAAACTTGTAAAATTTGGGATGTATCATATGTAAAGACTTGAAAGATATCCAAATAAACGCTTCAGGTGTTGACATTACTTTGGGTCTGTCTGCATTTCCTCTGTTCTGTTCCACGCGCCTAAACACCAGAAGCGCTCCCCGTGTCACCTTGCTGCAAGTAAAGTGGGGCATCTGTATCAGCTTTGAATCTAAGATGCTTATATTATTAGTGTCAGGTATGGCCATTAGCCAAACGGTCTTGACCTTCCCACAGAAAGCTTGATCATCACTTCAGCTGATTAAGTTTTACCTTCATTGGCGGTGACAGCTCGTGACCTTTCTGAACCATTATGGACCTCAGGCCACGGGGAAAACCGGGCACTTGGACTCCCTCCCAGCTCCAAGGCCTGTCTCCAGGTTTCCACTCTTCTCGCTCATTTTCGCCTGACCCCGGTCCTTGTTCTTACACACTCCCCAGACATTTGCTGCTAATGAGAGAGACGTGTAGGAGGGGAGCTGCGTCCTATATTTGCAGAGGAAGCATTGCCTGCGAGAGCTCTGCTGTGCTTTTCAAAATTCTCTGGAAAAGAGAGCACCGCACTGAAGCAGGCAGGTTTCCACTGCGCTGCTCCTAGTCGTACACGCCGCTTTCGGCTCCCTGCCCCCTGCTCACTCCTGGTGTCAGCGGTTCAGGACTTGCTGCGCCCTCTGATACACCCCTTGCTGCGCCCCTGCTGTTCTTTTCTCTGTTGTTGACGTTACTACAGATACTCCCATCCTCCCGCCGTTACCCCTCCTCCCAGGGCCCACCCCCCCCTTCCCTCTGGCCATCACCACACTGTTGTCTGTGTCTGTGGATTACGCATCTGTGTTCCTCCTCTTGTTTTTCAAGTTAGGTTTTTTGAGGTTTGTTTAACCACCTAAATGAAGAAATAGAATAGTTCCAGCATCCCAACCTCTCTCAGGTCCCTTTGTGGTCACCTCCCCATCCTGATTCCTGGAAATCACAAAGTTGTTTTTGTCCCTTAATGTGATACAGCCTTTTGGGTCCGGTCTCTCACAAGAAGACAGGCATTTGATGGCCATCCATGTTTCTTTCGGTTGCTGAGTCACACTCCACTGTGCATGTGCAGCAGGTGGATTTACATGAAATAGCAACATGTGTATCATTTATCTTTGGGTGTCTCCTCACCAAGTAATGCTTATGCAGTTAGCGGGCGAAGGACTTTTGGGCAATTTTTGGTGATTATAAATAAAGCCACTGTAAACTTGCAATTATGGGTTATTATGTGTGCCCAAGTTTTCCTTCCCCTTGGATCAATAGCTATGAGTTTTCCTGTACAGTTCAGGGCTATCCAACCTTTTGGCATCTCTGGGCCACACATTAAATACACAAACACTAACAAAAACTAATAAGCAAAAACAGGTTTTAAGTAAACTTACAATATTGGGTTGGGCTGCGTTTGTAGCCATCCTCGGCCACGGTTGGACACACCTGCACCCTAACCCACTCTATACCACCCTCATGCAACATCCTCTTTGACTTTACTGTTTATCCTCATCCTCTGTTTATAGGACAAGATAGGATGGTATCGGCAGTTAGGGCTGATGTATCCTCCTTTCGAGCCGATCTCAAATTCACTGAGGCTTGGGAAGGTACCCGCTCTCCCTGGACTAACGTGTTACTCCCCCATGTTGCTGTTCCTAACACACGGCACTGCGGGCCAGACCCACTGTCATCAGAAGCTGTCTGTTTAGAACTAGCCAGCTGGACTCCCCGTAGACGATCCCAATTCTGTTGGCAACAACCAAAGCATCATAGTCTGGAGCCAGTCAGACATAGGCCTTCTTCTCTCCATTCCGCTTGACCTGGGTGCTGACCTTGGCCACGTCAGTGTCACAGAGCTTCTTCACTGCCTATTTGGTCTGGTGCTTCTTGGCCTTGACCTCCACAGTGAACACAAGTGTCATCTTGTGTCTCCTTCATGGCTGACTCAGTGGTCAGGGAACGTGATGGTGGCACTCTGGTCAAGCCTGTTTCTCCTGGAGGCGCCCTTCCAAGGACGTTTGGGCTGCCTTTGGAGCCACAGTGTCTTAGGCCTCCTCCAGAAGGGGGTGACATGCAGATCCTTTTTTTGTGGCTATGGACTGTTTACCTTCAAAGCTTTGGCTTTGGAAGTGGCAGGGGCTTCCTGCTTCATTTTGGGCGCCATCTTCATGAAAAGAGAAGCTATCTTTTTATCTAGTAGCCGGTCGGAGGCTCTAAGTGCCTTGGTTCCCCTGACCCCATCCCACTCTGGCCAGGCTAAGCTGCGGCTCTGGCCCAGCATTACAGGTGCCCAGGCGAGGAGGGACAGGGCGGCGTGCAGAGCAAGCTGCTAATCTTATTAACCCGTATTGAGGTTACTTGGGGTTTATTTGCTGGCAGCTCAGTAAGAAGCTGTGGGTCATTGAGCTAGTCCACAAGTTCTAGGACACACACCTTCCTAAATATTCAGAATAAATAGTTATTCCCTGTTCTTCACTATGGAGTAAGTGTTTTGAAAATGAAAGTCCTAAGGCACTGTCTTTACCTCTCACCCTACCCCAGGGCTAGGCTGGCAGGACTCTGAAAACTGGCGGAGTCCCTTGGGTGAAAGGAATTTTACTGGCCCGAGGAAAGACTGAGGTTAGACACAAGGAAGAACCTGGTACCAGAGTCTAGCTGGACACTGGTAGATGACCAAAAGAGACGGGCCAGCTTTCTCTGGCAGCTGTGGCCCCCCGAGAAGACCTGTTACGATGCAGCTCGCCCTCAGTCTGCTCTGCACCAGCTGGTGGTGCTTCCCGGAGGGTCGGCTATCTGTGGTCCCCCCAGCAGCTCCCAGATCCCGAGGTGGCTGACGTCTGCCCTGTGACCTGACCCCGCTGAGACTCATATTTGTCTGTTTGGCTAAATATGTTTTGATCAGAACAGGCGGGGAAATGTTTTGGAATTTTTACTTATATCACTAAATTAAGATACCACATATTAAAATGTTAGACCAGTTCAGCTCTGGCCGAGGCAAAATACTGAGACGACTCGGATAACCGGCCAGTCACTGTTTTTGCAGGTTAAGAAAGCAAGAGAGGGAGAGCGGTGACTCCGACGCCGTCGGAACCCAGCTGCCTGATCGTGGACAGTGCCTCCTTTCAGAGTCAGGTTAGGCCTTGTTAAAACATGCGGTAGAGTTGGGGACCCGGTGACACACTGCTGTCGAATAGGCTGAGACAGGCATTTTCATACAATGCGCAAAAGTGGTTTGCATACAATATAATGTTTAATCTCTGTTGTACAGCTGTTAACAGCACAGTTACACACGTGGCCCAGAGCAGCGTCTGCGCAGCGGTCCGCAGCGCTCCTGGGCGCGAAGAGGGCTCCGGAGCATCCGTCGAGGCAGCTGACTCCCTCAGCATCGTCAGTGGGGATCTTCCTTGGTCTCAGGGAGACTCCGGAGTCAGATTAAACCCTGAACCAAAGCCTGACTCCGTCCAAACACCTTTGATGGGTCTCAACCCTGGGAGCACCAGAGCCCCAGAACAAACCCCCGGCTGCACCATCTCCACACTGGACACTCAGGACGGTACTGAAATCATCCTCTCCTTCAACTAAAAAAAAGTTCCCTTTCTCTTTTCCTGAAGGAACTGAAAACTTCGTTGCGGTTGCTAGCTCAGGAAGACGGGCTGTCTCAGAGTCTCCTTGAACGAAGAGGCAACCCGGTAGGACTGCACTGGCGGTCGGCCCTCTGGGGATAGAAACAGGGGGACACCCCAGAGGACTCTGCCCTCCACTGCAGACAGTTAGCGTCGTCCACGGCATCCCCGCGCCCCCCAAGAGGTGAGCCTGGTCTCCAGAGGGTGGACTCCGGTCTGACCGCGGCTCCTCTTCCGCAGAAGCGCAGCCGTCTCCCACCAGTGCCGCCGCAGACAGGCAGCCGGGGCGTCGTCCAGGCCTTCGGAGGGCTTGCAGCCAGAATGCCCCCGAGGTGCCTGGACTTCCTCCAGCCGGGGCCCACTCCTGCCTAAGTGAGGGCATGTGATTGACACATGAAATCAGGCCTTGAACTGCATTTCCGGCGGCAGGAAATAATCCCCGGTCCTGAAGTTCTTGCATCCCATGATGGAAGAACTCCTCTTTTGAGCTGTCGGGGCTTTGGAGAGCCCATGACTCTCGGAATGAGTGTCGCTGTTCCCCACCTTCCACCATCTAACAAATAAGATGGCTGACCTGTCAACCTTGGCATCTTTTTTTTAATGACAGTATGGCCAGTACATTTTTTCAGACTCCTGTGCTTTTGTACCTCATGACGCTTTGGATGTGGGATGAAGCAGCGTGGAATTCATGATGGCAGGCTCATCAAAGGGCCAGGGACCTCAGATGTGGCCGGTAGCCTCAGGGTGGAAATGAACGCAGGTGCTGGGGAGAGACGGGTGGGGGCCTGGGCATCCGCCGAGAGGCCACCGTGAGGGCCTGTCCACAGCAGTGGGCCTGGGGGCTCAGTCACTCCTATTTTGAGTCAGTCCTCCAACAAGTGTTTGCCAAATGCTTTTAGGGACTCTAAATTTTCAATCCCACCATCAAGGAGAGTATCTCTAAGGTGGCCGCTCTCCTTGGGAGATTCAGATTGGACGAGGGGGAGTGTCCGCGTTTCTTGGAGTCCACTGCTTCTCCGTGTTGGGGAGGGCAGGGACCCTGGGGCCGTCAGCCAGCCTCTGGGGCTGGGCCTGCGTCTGCGCCCTCGGCTTCCACCTGGTTGCTCTTGCCCAGCCTTTTCAGGCCCTCCAGGAAGGCCCTCCAGGTCTCCGGCACGCTCTTCTCCAGCAGCCAGCCCTCACTCTCACACTCAGCGTCTTCGGGGCTGGACACACTGTCCAGTGCCGTGTGGAGGTAGCGCAGCCCAACTGTGACGGTCACCTGGTGGGGGAGAGGAGACTTAGAGGAGATCTGGGAGAAGGAGCTGGGGGCTGGAGCTCAGGAAACCATGGGAACCCCTGGCCTGTTCATAGGTGGGGCCTTTCAAATGAGGCGGGCTCCGGCGAGCCAGGTCGGGGAGGGCCTGCCACCTCCGCCTGGCCTGGGCAGTCGGGACACCTGCCCCTGTCCAACCTCATCTACCCTTTCCCCCTTCCTGGCCAGCCTCTGCTTCTTGGGGTCCCGCCACACGCCAGCCTTTCTCTTCCCCAGCCTGTGCCATGTGCTGGTTTCTGTGCCTAGAATGTCCTTCCTCTCTGCATTCGTCTGTTAATTCAGCTTCAGCCCTCGGTGCCTGTCCCTGCTCCTCCTTCCACTTCCCCTTCCCCTCAGGTCTCTCCAGTCCTGCGGGCAGTGGGCCTGGGCTCCTCCTCCCTGCTCCCTGCTCCCGTTCCAAACACATTATTTGGTGCATACGGGGTGTTCACTATTTGCTGGAAGGAATTAAAAAGTGACCGCCTTTTCTGCAAACAGTGTGCTACGTGGTTTCCTGTACTTCTGTTCTCTTCGGTGGTACAGGGGTGAGTGGATAATCCGTTTGGATTTGTTCACTGGTGGTCACTGGGATACACCCTGGTGCCAAAATGCCCGGGTTCAGGTCCCAGCTCTGGCATTCAGCCAGCCACATGACGAGGAAGCCTCTGCTCACTCATCTGGCTTTCGAGTTTTCAGATGAAGTGTCGCCTGTGTGCTGTGGCACTTCAGACCGTGTGGGACCTAGCACCTGGTGCAGTGAGGGTGCGTAGAAGTGTCAGCTGTGATCAGTTATTAGTCAGCGTAGTGAGTCCTGTTTTGAATTGTCTAATGACATATTGTGTTAGTCACTTGTTTCTACGTAAATTTCTGGTTTGCTGTCTTACCCTTCTCCTTTTAGGGTACAGCAGACTCTGAAACAACCAGGCCTGCCACTGGAGGGTGCCCCCCGGGGGGGTGGGGCAGGGTCCGCCCTGACCCGTCTCGTCCACACAGCGTCCCGGCCCTACGACAGCAGCAGCTGGCGGCAGGGCCTCAGCAAACATCTGCTGAGCAAATGCTCCAGGGACATTTCACAACTATGGTAGTAGGTGGTAACAGTAACTGATAGAGTTTTAGAGTTTTGTTATTGGTATTTTCAATTAAAAGTTTAAATTTTTGTGTTTTTTTAAATCCTCACTCAAGGATATGTTTTTTTACTGATTTTATAGAGAGAAGGAGGGGACACATTGAGAGAGAGAGAAACACTGATATGAGAGAGAAATATCGATTGGCTGCCTCCCGTACATGCACCGAGTAGGGATCGAACCCACACTAGGTATGTGCCTGGACAAGGACTGAACCCGCAACCTTTTGGTGCACAGGATGACACTCCAACTGACTGAGCCATCTGATTAGGGTAAAAGCTTAATGTTTTTAACAGTGGAAAAACCTACCTCTTCCTGGAAGCCCTCCAGCTGTGCATGCACCCACTGAGATCCCCTCCTGCTTTCCCGAAGGAGGCCTGCTGCTGCACTGAGTTTTGCACTTGGTAATTGCTCTCCCTGAGGTTCATGAGTTAGATGTCCTCTCCTTACTGGGTCCTGAAGCCCTGGAGGGCAAGGCTCGGGGCAGGATTCTGTCTTAGCCCAGCCACCTCCATGCCCATCACAAAGCTCTGTCCACCAAAGGCCTCCAGTTAAAGTCGGGAATTCAAGCTCCCCATTCACAGTGAGCTGGTTCTCACCTTATGCATCATCTAGATTCCTGGAAAGTGGGTGCACTGAGGAGAGGCAGCTAGCGGAACTGCAGCCTTCTAGCACTAAATTTCTCTCCTAATTTTACACACTCATTCCCAAGACTTTGTCTCAACTCAATTAAAAGAAGCCCTCACTCCCCCCCACCATGCCCCCAGGGAGTGCAGGCCTGCTAGTGTGATGTGGTGAGTTAGAAGTGGGGTTTCTCAGCTGAGGGCACAGCTACATGAGAATTTCCATAGCACTAAGAGAAACTTACTTAAAGAACCTTTCAGTGAATCTTCTCTGATGGAAGGTTTCCCCACCTAATGTTTCTGATTTTGTACATCTGGAATTTGGAGTTTTGATATCCTGCTCTCAGCTCAAAGCAGGAGCTGAGTCACCCTCTCACTACCACTCACTAATCAACACTCTTGTTCAGCACCCAGGACAGCGCCCAGAGCAAGCTAGGTTTGCACAATCTCTTCAATAAGTGAATTCAGCTTTCACTAAGGACTTGCTACATTGTAAGCCCTGTAGCTACAGAGAGGAATTAAACTTCACCACTGAGGTGAGATGAAGCCACAAGTAATTAGAATAACAGGTAAATGGCAACTAACATTTCCAGAGAAGTGTGAGTCCACGTAGCTCCCATTTACTGATGTTCACCCACACCTATCATCTCCTGTTGCCTCCCAGTGGTCGCAAAGCTAAGCGCTGCCAGCCCCCCACAACAGAGAGGTTACATAACTTTCCAAGGCTTCAGATCAAAAAGTGGAGGCACAGGATGAACCTCCAAAACATGCAAAGTGAAAGCAGCCAGACACAAAAGGTCACCTAGTGTATGAGTTCTGTCCATAAAAAGTCCAGCCATAGCCCTGGCTGGCGTAGCTCAGTGGACTGAGCGTGGGCTGGGAACCAAAGTGTCCCAGGTTCGATTCCCAGCCAGGGTACATGCCTGGATTGCAGGCCATAACCCCCAGCAACCGCACATTGATGTTTCTCTTTCTCTCTCTCTCTCTCTCTCTCTATCTCCCTCCCTTCCCTCTCTAAAAATAAGTAAATAAAATCTTTAAAAAAAAAAAAAGTCCAGCCGTTTGTTACTGTAATGAGAATGGTGTGCATGTGGGGCTAGCTCACAGCCCCAGCAATGCAGCCAAGGAGGGTGGACTGGAACGTGCCCGTGGGAACAATGACAACTTTGCGGTACTAGTCAGTGGGGGCGGTAGACAGCACCCCCCTTACACAAGTACACTTGAGTGAGCATGTGTGCTGTGTGGCCATCGCATTCAAAATGACTGAGTGAGTAGAGCAACAAATCTGCATCAAATGTTGCTTTAAGTTTGAACATTCCTCCGAGAAAACTATTCAAATGACTCAGAATGCAGCTATGGGTGACTGGTGATTGGCAGCTTCAGCATGACAATGCACCTGCTCATGCATCGTCTCATGTAGAGTTTATTGGCCAAACATCAAATCGCCCAGGTGACTCAGCCCCCACCCCACAGCCCAGATTCAGCTCCCTGTGACTTCTGGCTTTTCCCGAAACTAAAATCACCTTTGAAAGGGAAGAGATTTCACACCATCAGTGAGATTCAAGAAAATACAACAGGGCAGCTGATGGCAATTGGGAGAACTGTGTGAGGTCCCAAAGTGCCTACTTTGAAGGGGACTGAGGTGTCATTGTCCTATGTACAATGTTCCTTGTGTCTTCTTCAATAAATGTCTCTATTTTTTTTTATTATGGGGCTGGATACTTTCTGGACAGGCCTCATATGATTCCATTTATATGAAATTCCCAGATTAGGTAAATACACAAGGACAGGCCACAGATTGGAGGCTGCTGGGGGCTGGGGGAACAGGGAGTGACTGCTTAGTGGGCACGAGGTTCTCTCTGGGGTGGTGGGGGTGTTTGGGAACTAGACAGAGGTGGTGGCTGTACAACATTGTGAATGTACTATATGCCACTGAATTGCTCACTTCAAAATGGTTAATTTTGTATCCTATGAATTTCACCTCAATGAATTATTTTTTAAAGATTGTATTTATTTTTAGAGAGAGGGGAAGGGAGAAGAAGAGAGGGAGAGAAACATCAGTGTGTGGTTGCCTCTGGCGTGCCCCAGACCAGGGACCTGGCCTGCAACCCAGGCATGTGCCCTGACCAGGAATCAAACCAGTGACCTTTCCGTTCTCAAGCTGGCACTTAGTCTGCTGAGCTGCACCAGCCAGGGCTCAATGAATTATTTTTTAAGTGACAGGACACAAAAAGAAACAGAAAGTGGAGGAGCTGGAATTTAAGCCTTGGCCTTCACGACCCACAGCCAGGCAAGGATCTGGCTGCAGGGAGAGAGGCAGGTGCTCCAGGCCCAACTCCACCAATTTAAATGCAAATAGAGCAAGTGGCTCCTTCTTCCCCTGCCACCCACCCGGGCCAGGAGCATACCTCGTAGAGCCAGACGAGGAGCGTGGCGGCGCCCATGCAGTTCATGAGGCTGCTGTAGTAGCTCAGCAGGGCGGCCCTGCAGCCTCGCACCCACAAGTTGAGCTCTTCCGTCTGGTGGTCATAGCTGTAGTGTGCCGAGTTGTTGGTGAGCTGGTACTGGATGCAGGGCCGTGGCGAGTTGGGGTTGCAGCAGCTGAAGGGGACGCCGTCCACCAGGTACCGCCCGTCCACGTTGCTCTTGATGCGACTGGAGGAGAAACAGCCAGCTTGAGGGGGGCGCTCCTCAGACTTTTCACCAGCCACCAATGCCTCCCATCCCCCACCTACACTGTTCATTCATTCATTTGCTCTCAACATTTGCTGTGCACCTGCTATGTGCCAGTCACTGCTCTAGGCACTGAAGATAGAGCAGTGACCCTAGAGAAGCAATGTCCTTGCCTTCCTGGACCTTAGGAGCCTGAGACAGATGATAAACCAGGAAGCCAGTAAAGAGGGGACGTGGAGGCCATCCAGTCCCCTAGCATGCAACAATTTCTCAGAACCATGGCAGGCTGGTTGGAGCAACAGGACAGGCAGTGACCGTGGACCAGGGCTCTGCCTAGTGTTTGTGGCCATCAGCCTGGCCCCAGCCCCGTCTCCAGCTTCATCTCTCCCTTTCAAGTCACAGGGCCAAGACACCCCCCCCCCCCGGCCAGGTCAGTTCTGCTCAGCAGGTGTTTCCAGGGCCTGTGCAGGGGGTGCAGCCCGAGACAGGCGCAGTCCTTGCCCTCAGTTCGCTCAACTCCACGTCCGCGTGAACTCCATCTGAGTGGGTGGGGGCTCCTTCCTTACCTAAAGGACGCAGCCCACGTGACTTCTGAATTTCTGTACTTATGTGTATATTTGGTTAGAGCGCTTTATACGTCCATGTGAGTTGGGGACTCAAAAACAGGAGACATGTTTGCAATGAAAGCTCTCCCCCCCATCCGAAGGGCTGGGATGCTCTGCCTGACCCGAGCGAGGTCACCCAGGATCTTCATGTGTCAGAACCTGTCAAGCTGCTCACTTAGGATTAGTGCATCTGATTGTGTACGTACTGTCTTAAGTAAGAAAAGGTTTTTGTAAGTTGCACATGAGTGATGCATTCCATAGTAGTGGCAGACTTTTACAACACAAGAATAGAAAGCCTGTACTTGCTTAAAATAGAAATTGTTTTCAACAACATGCATTGAAATAATTACACCCTAAAAGAAAAAGATATTCGTGCTTAGCTTCTAAATAAAATCTCCCGATTGTTTTGTTTACCAGTTTTTCTACATTTTAATGTATTAACTTGCTGTGAAAACCCGTTAGTTTCTAAATGAAACTCCTGAGAGAAAGAGCGTGTCCCCAGCCCCAGGATGGAGACACAGCTGCGCGTGCCAGAAACTGACGAGGGCAGACTCCCTCCCTCCCACAGGCGGCTTCCTTCCGGTCTGCGGCGTCTTAGGTGCTGGCACCACTCTGGGTGTCTCAGGTGCTGACGACGCGTCCGCACCTGCTCTTGAAGACAGCAGTGCTGGACTCTTTCAGATCCAACTACGGCAACATACCCCAGTCACGTTCGTCCAGCAACAACACAAAATAGCAGCTGTCACACAGCCGTTTATCTCGGTAAGAGAGTGAACCTGCCCAGCTGACGTCCTGTTTCACAGAGGCAAGTCATCTTAATGAGAAGGAATTGAAGTGAGAGATTATTTTGTTACCTCTTAGAAGAATTTTCGTCTTGAATTTGTTTCTTGAGAAATTTCTACCAAAAAAATCATTTAATGACTTAATGTGTTAAACATTTGCTTTATAAAGTAATAAATAAATAAAATTTGCTTAATGCAATAAAGCCACCCCCCCACCCCACCCCCCACCCCCGTTCTTCTCCCCAGGCCTGCAGTCCCCTGCGGTGGCCGGCGGGTCCGTCCTTCCAGGAGGCTTCGTGCAGGGACGGGCAGACGCGGACCCTGCAGATGTTCACGTCTGTGCTGTTGGTTGGTTTGTTTTTTACCCAGCGGCAGCGTCGTGTACATGCTATTTGAAACGTGCTTTTCCCCCCTAACAGTAGCTTAGTGATGCTGTGTATGTCAGTGGGGGTGTTCGCAGGTTTTCGATGAGCCGCACGGTGTCTCCATCGTGCGGATGGTCAGCAGGGTACTGGGCACTGCCCCAGGGTGGGTGTTTGGGGTTTCCCGGCCTCCCGGTAATACAGACATGGACTTGGGTCCTCTGCATATTGTGACTGTGTCTAGAGGGCAAACCCCTGGAAGAGGCACTGCTGCGTCAGGGGGTGGGGCCGTCCGCAATGACCCGGACCCTTCTGTACTACTTCTCCTCGGGGCTGGGCGGTCACACCCCACCAGCCTCGCGTGAGAGCACCTGCCCGCGCCCCGCCCCCCCCCCGCCCCGGCCAAACCCACACAGGTTTGGTGACAGAGAAATGAAAGCTGGTCCGTGAACAGTAGTCTCTCAGGGTGGTTTTAATTCCCATTTTTGTCTTTACGAGTGAAGTCGTGTATCTCCCAGTATGTTTAAGAGCCATCTGTGGTGCTCACTTCGGCAGCACACACTCCACAGTGGGAACCATACAGAGGAGACTGGCATGGCCCCTGTGCAAGGCTGACATGCGGATTCGTGAGCTATTCCACATTTTTACTGGATAAAACTTGAGATAATTTAAAAAATCCATTTATAGCCTGGCTGGCATAGCTCAGTGGATTGACAAAGCATCGCAGGTTCGATTCCAGTCAGGGCACATGTCTGGGTTGCAGGCCACGGTCCCCAGCAACTGCACATTGATGTTTCTCTCTCTCTTTCTCCCTCCCTTTCCCTCTCTAAAAAATAAATAAATAAATAAATCTTTTTAAAAATCCATTTGTGATTTTTTTCCAGTGAACTGCCCTTTGCTACCCAGTATGATTGAGACTTTATGGAAGCTTCATACAGTGTCGCCTCCTAGGTTCCAGAACAGTCCTTGCTTAGGTTGTGACGACCATATCTCCACACTGAGTTCTACTCCATGGAAAGGACCCACCGCCTGGGGAACAGGCGGCTCTGAGTGCACAGGCAGCCCATGTGATGAGAGCGGGCTGTCTGGGTTTGTTTCCAGTTTATCCCTTTGGACGAGTTCCTTAACCTCGCCAAACCTGAGCTTCCTCGCCTGTAAAATGGAGTTGACAGAAGGATCCTATGAAAGGATACAGGTAAAAAGGCTTCAGAGAGTGCCTGGTACATGGTAAGTAGGCATTGAACACGGTCATGGGCCAGGGGTGTGTGGGGTTCAGAACCAGAGACTCCACTTGCTTTCTGTGCCCTCAGGGAGCGGCTGTGACAATGTGACACATTGCAATGTGACACTTCTGAGTGGGTGGCATGGGTTCTGCCAACTGTGAAGAAGCTGTGAGGACAGCTCACCACCAGCTGCAGTGGGGCCTGTTGGACATCTGTCAGCCCACAGAAGCAGCTGCTACCGTGTTCACTCCAGCCCTACTGACTGCACATGAGCAGCGTCTGCCCCGTTCTCGGGGGCCAGAAGCCCCGGCACAGCTGAGCAGACAGTAGCCTCTCACCCCAAGACCAACCCTGACACAACTTCCTCAAGGCCAGGGTGTCTAACCCCCAGTGCTGTTCACCCCTCTTCCTGACGGATAAGCTGCCCAGTGTAGTGTCCCACATGGGCCATTCCCAGGGTCCCCCGGCACCTCACACTTGCCATCTGCATTTGACTCATCTCTCGGAGCTGTGTGAGGTGGGGATAACCACCCCCCGCCCCTCAGGGGCTGTGGGGAGGTTTAAATGAGAATGCAAGGGATGCACTTTGACCCAGGCCCCCAAAGACTGTTGGCTCCTCCCCAGTTAAGGCCATTTCTGTGGGACCTCGAAAACTACCAGGTTGTTCCACGGAGCAGGAAGTGGGCCCAAGGCAGGGCAGGGCCTTGCCCAAAGCCACACAGGAAGGGGAAGGACCAGCCCAGAGCAGCTGGCGCCTCCTCCCTTCAGACTTTCCTCAGTGTCTCTCAGATCTTTCCTGCCAGTTGGCTTTTCTAAACTTCCTAAGAAAGTGTGACTCTCCCTCCCATGACCCCTGTCCCAGCAGCTCTTTCCTGTCCACCATGCCCTATCCTTTAGCATCTCCAGGTGTCCCTAAGCTGCGGCAAAGCCTGCAGACCTGCCTCGTGTATCTGAAGTGGAGGCCAGGCCTGCAGTTCTGAGGGCTAGAGCCAGTAGTCTGATCCTTCTTCAGCCTGCGGTGGCCTTCCGGAAGGCCATGTCTCCCCTCAGACTGGGGCTCCCTGAGGGCAGTGCTGTGTCTCCCCCTTCTCATGTCCCCCCTTACCACCTTCAGGACTTTATATCTGCGCCTACCCAACCAAATAAATACTAATGCTAGCCCTGGCTGGTATAGCGCAGTGGATTGGATGCAGGCTGCGAACCAAAAGGTCACCAGTTCGATTCCCAGTCAGTGCCCATGCCTGGGTTGCAGGCCAGGTCCCCAGTGGGGGGGTGTGAGAGGCAGCCACACATTGATGTTTCTCTCCCTCTTTCTCCCTTCCCTTCCCCTCTCTCTAAAAATAAATAAAATATATTTTTTTAAGAAATACTATACAGCACTTGCAGTGTACCAAGTGCTCTGCGTGCATTATCCCATTTAATCTCCACCACAGCTGCGTCAGCTACTCGTCTTGTCATTTCTCAGATAAGAAAACTGCGGCTCTCAGAGGTTGTCACCAAGGTTCCGCAGGTGTCTGTAGCTAGTGTCCCATTGGGATCTAACTCATTAACAGTGACACTCCTGCCTCCCCCTGTCCTCGGCCATGCTCATTTCCATGTGGCTCTCCTCACTGAGGCATTGACTCACTGACTAAACGGTGCTGGCGTTTCCAGGAAGACGCTGACGTTACGGTTTTCCCGAGTCACATGTGACATGGCCCTGGGAGACTGGGTTGGCTCACAGGCTTTCTCGTAACCAAGACCCCTACAAGCCCTGCTGAGCCTGAGCAGAGCGAGATTTGCAGCCTCAGAACTACTCTGCCATAAATAGCCAGCTCTCTCCCTAAGGAGCCGTCTTTGCCTGGCATTGTCTTAGGAGGCTGTGTGGCGCCTTAATCTGTGGTTGGAACCGGGGTAGCGCTGAGTAAACAACAATGCTTCTGGCAGGAGCAAGGGCTGGTGCCAGAGGTGGGACCCCAAGAAGTCCCAGGCTGGGGGCCCAGGCCTGCCTCCCCCATACTGACCTGGGCC